AAAAACGTGTTGTCCATGCTCCAATGTCATAATCCCTTTCGCGGTTCAGTGGGTCCATCATTGTTTTTGTTAACGAGTGTCTGGAATTTGGGCAGGATGTCTCGAGCGAAATGCACGACCCCACCCTAGCACGACCATACCCCAGCACGACCACACCCCAGCACGACCAGACCCCAGCACGACCCCACCCCAGCACGACCCCACCCCAGCACGACCATACCCCAGCACGACCACACCCCAGCACGAACCGACCCCAGCACGACCCTACCCCAGCAAGACCACACCCCAGCACGACCACACCCCAGCACGACCACACCCCAGCACGACCCCACCCCAGCACGACCACGCCCCAGCACGACCACGCCCCAGCACGACCACGCCCCAGCACGACCACCCCCAGCACGACCACCCCCCCAGCACGACCACCCCCCAGCACGACCACCCCCCAGCACGACCACACCCCAGCACGACCACACCCCAGCACGACCACACCCCAGCACGACCACACCCCAGCACGACCACACCCCAGCACGACCACACCCCAGCAAGACCCGATCGATAAATCACAGGGTGCGGAGCACCCCAGCACGAACCCACCCCAGCACGACCCCACCCCAGCACGACCCCACCCCAGCACGACCACGCCCCAGCATGACCACACCCCAGCACGACCACACCCCAGCACGACCACTCCCCAGCACGACCCCACCCCAGCACGACCCCACCCTAGCACGACCACACCCCAGCACGACCACACCCCAGCACGACCCCACCCCAGCACGATCACACCCCAGCACGACCCCACCCCAGCAAGACCACACCCCAGCACGACCGCACCCCAGCACGACCATACCACAGCACGACCACACCCCCGCACGACCACGCCCCAGCACGACCACGCCCCAGCACGACCACGCCCCAGCACGACCACCCCCCAGACGACCACTCCCCCACCCCCAGCACGACCACCCCCAGCACGACACCCCCCAGCACGACCACCACCCCAGCACGACCACTCCCCAGCACGACCACACCGCCTTGGTTGAGTGGTTGCCTGTCGTCGTGGAATGTTTCGTGGGGTGTCTCGTGGAATGTTTCGCGGGGTGTCTCGTGAAATGTTTCGTGAGGTGTCTCGTGGAATGTTTCGTGAGGTGTCTCGTGGCTGTTTCGTGAGGTGTCTCGTGGGATGTTTCGTGAGGTGTTGCCCAGTTGGGTATCATGAAAACGTGTCCATGCTCCACATGTCTATATCCCTTTCCGGGTTCGTGGGTCCATCATGTTCTATGTAAACATGTCCCGGTGCCCAACTTGAAGGAGGCCGGCGGATTCTTTCCCTGATAAATATCGAGGTCGAAGGAGGCCGGCGGATTAAAATTTGAGGATGTCTCAGGCGAAACGCTTGTTTTTGAAATCCCGATCGATAAATCACAGGGTGCGGGACACCTCAGCACGACCACACCCCCAGCATGACCACACCCCAGCACGACCACGCCCAGCACGACCACGCCCCAGCACGACCACACCCCAGCACGACCACACCCCAGCACGACCACACCCCAGCACGACCACACCCCAGCACGACCACACCCCAGCACCAGCACGACCACACCCCAGCACGACCCGATCGATAAATCACAGGGTGCGGACCACCCCAGCACGACCACACGCCAGCACGACCCCACCCCAGCACGACCCCACCCCAGCACGACCACGCCCCAGCACGACCACACCCCAGCACGACCACACCCCAGCACGACCACACCCCAGCACGACCACACCCCAGCACGACCCCACCTAGCACGACCACACCCCAGCACGACCACACCCCAGAACGACCACACCCCAGCACGACCCCACCCAAGCACGACCCCACCCCAGCACGACCACACCCCAGCACGACCACACCCCAGCAGGACCCCACCCCAGCACGACCCCACCCCAGCAAGACCACACCCCAGCACGACCACACCCCAGCACGACCTCACCACAGCACGACCCACCCCAGCACGACCACGCCCCAGCACGACCACGCCCCAGCACGACCACGCCCCAGCACGACCACCCCAGCACGACCACCCCCCCAGCACGAGCACGACCCCCCAGCACGACCACCCCCCAGCACGACCACACCCCAGCACGACCACTCCCCAGCACGACCACACCGCCTTGGTTGAGTGGTTGCCTGTCGTCGTCGTCTCGTGGAATGTTTTCGGGGTGTCTCGTGGAATGTTTCGTGAGGTGTCTCGTGGAATGTTTCGTGAGGTGTCTCGTGGGATGTTTCGTGAAGTGTCTCGTGGGATGTTTCGTGAGGTGTTGCCCAGTTGGGTATCGTGAAAACGTGTCCATGCTCCACATGTCTATATCCCTTTCCGGGTTCGTGGGTCCATCATGTTGCAGAATCCTCCCTGACTCCAGACCCCTCCCCAGCCGCAGCGCCTTTCGCGTAAACTGCTCGTTGATCCAAAAATCCGACCCAGCCCAAACATTTTCGGTGTAACGAATGTCCTGGCCCCCAAATCCGCCCCAGCCCGAGCGTTTTCTAAGCAAAATCTCCATTACCCCCAAAGTCCCAGTGCAAAACTTCTCCTAGCACCCAAATCCGTCCCAGCCAGAGGGCTCTCTGCGCACAGTTTTCCCTGGCGCCAAAACCCGGGCCAGACCATACGCTTTTTAGGTTGAATCCCACATGGCCTCGGAACTTTTTCCCGGAAAGGGCGTAGGCCCAGGGTTCTCTTTTAGTTTGTTTCCCCCCGGTTTTGACGGCTGTAGGGCCGGCGAATTTCTTTTGCGATAAATAACGAGGTCGCGTAGGGCCGGCGAATTAAAAATTGAGGATGTCCCTAGCGAAACGCTTGTTTTTCAGAATTTGTTGAGGATGTCTCGAGCGGAACGCTGGTTTTGCAGAGTTGGGGATGTCTCGAGCGAAACGCTTGGTTTCAGAATTTGTTGAGGATGTCTCGAGCGACACGCTGGTTTTGCAGAGCCGACCGCGACACGGAAAAGCGCCCCTCGCGCAGGAATTCCAAGGATGTCTCGCGCGTGCCGCGTCCCGCGCGCGGGTATTTGGATTTCTTGGGATTTTGACAGGATGTCTCGAGCGAAACGCTTGTTTTTCATAATTTGTTGAGGATGTCTCGAGCGAAACGCTGGTTTTGCAAAATTGGAGGATGTCTCGAGCGGTGGCCTCGTGGGGGGCCAGAATTCAAAGGATGTCTCAGGCGAAATGCTTGTTTTCACGTCCCGCTCGCAGGAATTCCGAGGATGTCTCGCGCGTGCAGCGTCCCGCGCGTAGGAATTCAGATGATTTTGACAGGATGTCTCGAGCGAAACGCTTGTCCCCAGCACGTTCCGTAGCGCGTCCCCTTGGCAGGTCCCGCGATGCGTCCCCATGGCACGTCCCTTGGCACGTCGCTTGGCGCGTCCCTTGAGACGTTCTGCGTCGCGTCCTCCTGGCATGTTCCCCTGTCCATTAGCTCTGGGGCAGCTACTATGTGTTCAGGCAGCTCGAGCTTAAGATCCAGATCAGTTCGGTCAGGACTCGGATGCAAAGGAGGACTCGATCCACGAGGCTATAGAGCACAATCGCGCCATGGCACATCGCAATTCAGCACGGCGCAGCACAGCACTGATTTCGGCACGGTACATCAAGGTCGATGCACTCAGCATTGCAACTTGGCACGTTCCTTGGCACGTTCCGTGGGGCGTCCTTTGGCGAGTCCCCCTGGCACGTCGCGTCGCGCGTCCCCTGGCACATCCCGTGGCACATCCATTGGCACGTTCCGTAGCGCGTCCCCTTGGCACGTCCCGCGGTGCGACCCCATGGCACGTCCCCTGGCACGTCGCCTGGCGCATCCCTTGGGACGTTTCGCGGCGCGTCCTCCTGGCATGTTCCCCTGTCCATTAGCTCTGGGGCAGCTACTATGTGTTCAGGCAGCTCGAGCTTAAGATCCAGATCAGTTCGGTCAGGACTCGGATGCAAAGGAGGACTCGATCCACGAGGCTATAGAGCACAGTCGCGCCATGGCACATCGCAATTCAGCACGGCGCAGCACAGCACAGCCCTCGGCAGGGTACATCAAGATCGATACCTACAGTATTTCATTTGCCCGTCACCCAATCAGGTGTCTTTGAAAACGCTGCCATGTGTTACAGTTCTACATTCCTTTCCGGGTTCGTGGGTCGATCATGTTAGGTTGAATCCCACATGGCCTCGGAATCCTTGCCAGCTCGAGCGTCGTCCGTGCAAAACCCTTCCTATTCCCAGATTACACTCCTGCCATCGCGCTTGCTGTTCAAGATCATTCCTGATCCAAGAATTATTCCCAGCCCGTTGGCTGTTCATGTAGACATTCCTGGCGCCAAGATCCTCCCCGACTAGGGCTTCTCATGTTTAGAACCTCCCAGCTTCCCAAACTCCCCCCCGACCATCACGTTTTCTGCCCAATCCCCTCCGATTGTCAAATCCGTCCTAAGCCGGGCGCCTTCTTTGCAAAATCCTTCCCGGCCCCCACGAAGTCATCCCAGCGTAAGCGCCTTCTGCGTAAACTCTACCATTGCCTCAACATCCCTCCCTTGCCAACGCGTTTTCCAGTCCCCAACTATCCTGCAGTATTAGTTCGTCTCTTCCTCGCTCCCCCCCTGCCTCTGCCCTCTGTGTGTTCCTGTTTCGGCACGAGCCAGGCCGAGGAAGCATTCGGATGGTTTCGAAGGCTCCCAGAATGCCCGGGCAGGCTCTCACCAACGGGCTCTAACAACAATTTGGCGGTCCGAAAAGGATTTATTAGTATATTCCCGTTTGCCCTCGAGTTTTCTCGACGGGTCTAGAGTTGAGACTTTGCTCTCGGAGGGCGGCAGAGGGCTGGGCCCGATCCTTGAGCACTTTAGAAGGCTTCAGAGGGCGCTGGAGGGCTCTGGAAGGTTCTTGGCGGTAAACACATGTGTTAGACTGCAGTGGGGTGCTCTAGATGGCTCTGCGGTGGATGGTCCCAGATTGTTCTGGGCTCTCCAAGGTGGTCACGGATGCTTTATGGGGCCCGAGAGTGCTCTAGTTGTGGGCACCAGGAGGTTTGAGCACGATATAGGAGGCTATAGCGAGCTCGAGAAGGACCTGGATGGCTACGGTTTTCTCGGGGGTTCTACACGGCTCCGCAATGCGTTCGAAAGGCAAGGAGGCCCACGCAGCCCTACAGGGCTTCTACAATGATCCGAAAACCCCCAGTTAGAGGGATACGGGTGGTCTCGAGGGTTCATGGTACAAGGCTTTGAAGGATGCAAGTAAGCTTCAGAGGGATTTAGAATCCTGCCTGAGGATTCCAAAGGACTTTCGCAGGCTCTCGCGCGCTCTCGACGGCATTCGAATTCTTGAATGGGGTTGAGGAGATATTTACTGGACGCCAGAGGGCCTCAATGGATTCTACATTGCCCTAGGAGGCTCGGAACGGCCCAAGAGGACTCAGGAGGGCTACGGATGGGACGGGGCAAAATAATGATTTAGAGTGCGGTGGAAGGCTCTGGAAGGCCCTGGAGTGTTCAAGAATCGTTCGAGAAGGCCCTGGAGGGCTCCAGAGCGCTCTAGTTCTAGGATGCTCAGGTGCAGAAGGCTCCAGAATGTTTAGGAATGCAGCTGGGGCTCTAGAGAGCTCCGGAAGGATCTAGAAGGCCTGAGTGTTTTGCAGTTGATGTCGGCAGAGGTTACCACAATGCTGCCGAATGCCCAGGGGGTCCAGGCACCCCTGGCTCCTGGAATGACCCAAGCGACTTTAGAGGTGTCTATTGAATGCTCAAGAGGGCAGTGCTCGACGGATCTAGAAGGCGGGCACTCGAGTGCTTGCAAGAGTTTTACAATCAAAATCGATAGTTCGGGAGCGCAATAAGGATGCAAGGGTCTTGGACGCCCATGCCGAGGCTCTTGGAGCGGGGCTGGCTATCGAAAGTGGTTGAGGATGGACCGGAGATGGTCGAAGGGGTAAGACTGCAAGTGTGCTTTTGGTAAGATGACCATGCTTATTATCAGTGTTGACTGCAGCTGACTGCAGAAGGCTTCTCATAGCACACGTCTATTTCTTTCGATGGGCAGCCCCGCTCGAAGAGCCTCGACATGGGCGCCCAAGGGACTTGCACCCTTCTCGCGCATCCTCACGATCACTGTACAAGTACGCGCCACCACAAAAAAACGAATCAGCAAAATCACAGGCGAAGGGGGGGGATTCGACTCCTGAGCCCCTTCCCGACGGCCGCCCCTGCGCCGTCTCCGCGCGGGCGCCCGAGAGAGTGTCCGGTCCACAGCCCGCGAATGGGCGGTCGGGCGGCAGGCCGACAGCATTTCCCGCCTAGTTCGAGCAGGACTCCTCCTTCGCGCTCCTTCTTCGCACTCCTCCTCCGCGCTCAACCTCCTCATTCCCCTCCTCATCATCATCCTCCTCGTCCCCTTTCATCCCTCCGCCTCCCTCCTTTTCCTCCTAACTAATTCCCGGCTGTCGCATCCCGAGGCCAGTCGGAAGGGCGGTTTGGGCGATTCGCTTGAGACCTGGTTACTGCAGATGATCCTGAAACTTAAGAATTTGCAAGAGTTTCACAGGTGGAGGGGGGGTGCTTCTAAAATGTGGTTCTCGCCTCAGCGCCGCGCACACTCGTTTTAGACATCTGCAATCGTTTCACGAGTTGAAGGCGGGTGGTTTTCAGAAGGTGGTTATCGCCTTACCGCCGCGCACATTCGTAGCACATGTTTGCAAGAGCTTCGCGTATTGAAGGCGGGTCGTTGTCACAGAATTTGTTATCGATATAGCGCCTCGCGCATTCGTGGTGAAATATTGCCAGGGCTTTACGGATTGATTGCGGGGGGGGTTCAAAGTGTGATTTTCGCCACAACGCCGCCCACATTCACTTCACAAAATTTCACAAGCTTCACGGATTGAGGGTGGGCCTTGTTCAAAATCAGATTCTCTCCTGAGAGCCGCGCGCATTCGTCTGAACAAGTTGCAAGAGTTTGATTGGTGCGGTTCCTTTTCGAAATGTAGTTCTCGCCTTAGCGCCGCGTGCACTCGTTTTCAACATCTGCCACGGTTTCACGGATTCCATTGGTCAGCGTACCAGAAAGTATTTGAGGAAGAATTCAGTGCTGTCAGTGCCTAAGCGTTAGTTCGACTCGCTGTGTTGAAGTCCCAGGGACGGCGTTCTGGGATCACCAAGACGCAACAGTCAGGTAGATTCGTAGCGTTGGTGTCCCGAGAATTGTGTTCCGGCGCGCTGCAGGAATTTCAAACGATTGGCCCCCAAAGGGGCACTGCCCTCAATGGAAATGAGCCCTGCAGGAACCTCTGACGAGGGAGCTTGAAGGGAAAGTTGATTCCAACATCGCTCAGGAGTCCTGGGTTTACTCTTGTCCTCCACCTCCTCCTCGTCCTCCTCCTCCCCCTCCTGCAGCTGGTAGACATGGTGTGCCAGGGCCGCCCGCCCAGCGGGCACGAAGCCTGCCTGGCCCGACAGCGGCCGCCTGCGGCTCCCGACCATCCCTGCTGCTGACAATCTCGCCTCCATGCTTGGCCGTTCTCCCATGTTTCGGGCCGTGCCTAGGAGGGGGAGAGGAGGAGGAGGAGGAGGAGGAGGAGGAGGAGGAGGAGGAGGAGGAGGAGGACGAGGAGGAGGAGGAGGAGGCGGAGGCGGAGGAGGAGGCGGAGGAGGAGGAGGAGGAGCACGACCATGAAACGATGCCCTCAGCCGCCAGGGCGCAATGTATAGTGGACATGCTTTTCGGGGCCAGTTCGCGGGCGTGAGACGCTCCACCAAATATGTGTGCACACCGTGCCTCGGGCGAAGGACCGCACACCCTGGTGTCTGCATGCGGCTCCGCGAGGGCAGCTCGGGAAGGCAGCGGTGAGCCCGCACACGGGTCGCAGAGCGCCCCCCCCGAGGTTCTGCAGGACGAGTGGCGGTCGCAGCGCACGGCCTCCGGCGCCAAGTCGCGGCAGTCCCACCAGGCGGCGGAGCGCTGCGGGGAGATCATGGGGGAGTTGGCCGCGCTCAGGCGCCCAGTTTGGGCGGGGGGATGGCTGCGAGGCGGGGGCCTGTCCATCACCACTGCCTGGGCTTCGCCGACGTCGAAGGCGCAGGTGGGCGCTGTTGTTTCCCCAACCATCCTGTGGTATGGGGTCCTCGTTCTGAAGAGACAGCGCCCCGCGTTTCTTCCACCTTCCCCCCTCCTTCTCCCCCTCGTCCCTCCTCCCTCCTCCTCCCATCATGATCATCATGATCGTCATGATCATCGTCGTCATCGTTAGTATCATCCTCATCATCTTCATCATCATTAGTATCATCATTATCATTCTCACCCTCATCCTCCTCCTCCTCATCACCATCACCATCCTCATCCTCATCCTCGTTCTCATCCTCATCCTCATCGCCATCATCATCCTCATCCTCATCCTCATCTGCACCACCTCCGTAATCGTCATCGTAAGCCTCAGCATCAGCATCAGCATCACCACCACCATCAGTCGCGTTTCGGTACGCCCATCACACGTTTGGTGGTCCCATAGGGAGCTCCACCGAAGGCTCCAATGGCACAGTCCGCATGGCGCACCCGCGCCCGAATCGGCACACCCCTCACACGCTTGGTGGTCCCATAGGGGTCTCCACGGAAGGCCCCAGCGGCACAGTCCGCATGGCGCACCCGCACCCGATTCGGCACACCCCTCACACGCTTCGTGGCCCCATAGGGAGCTCTTCCGAAAGCCCCAGCGACACAGTCCGCATGGCGCACCCGCACCCGATTCGGACACACCCCTCACACGCTTCGTGGCCCCAGACGACCTCCACCGAGGGCCCCAGGCGTACCTGCACCCGATCCGGCACACCCCTCACACGTTTAATGGCCCCATAGGGAGCTCCACCGAAGGCCCCAGTGGCACAGTCCGCATGGCGTACCCGCACCCGATTCGGCACACCCCATCACGCGTTTCGTTGTCCAGTCGGTAGCCCCACCGAAGGCCCCAGCGGCACAGTCCGCATGGCGCATCCGCACCCGATTCGGCACAGCCATCACACGCTTGGTGGTCCCATAGGGAGCTCCACCGAAGGCCCCAGTGGCGCAGTCCGCATGGCGCACCCGCACTCGATTCGGCACACCCATCACACGTTTCGTGGCCCCATGGAGAGCTCCACCGAAGGCGATACCCACAACGACCGCCGTCACAACTGCATATTGTTGGGTCCGTCTCCAGGATAATTGTGTGTGCGTGTGTGTTCAGATGTTCCAGGAAAGGGCGTCGGCCCAGGGTTCTCTTTTAGAGGTTTACCCCTGGATCTGACGGCTGTAGGGCCGGCGAATTTCTTTGCGATAAATAAGGAGGTCGCGCAGGGCCGACGAATTCAATGTTGAGGATGTCTCGAGCGAAACGCTTGTTTTTCAGAATTTGTTGAGGATGTCTCAAGCGAAATGCTTGAGGCATCCTCAACGCTTGAAACGCTTTTTCAGAATTTGTTGAGGATGTTGGCGCGTCCCGTGGCGAGGACTCGATCCACAACGCTTTAATCTATATATATATATAACGCTTTATATATATGTATGGAGAGAGAGAGAGAGAGAGAGAGAGAGAGAGAGAGCACAATCGCGGCATGGCACATCGCAGTTCAGCACGGCCCAGCACAGCACAGCCTTCGGCACGGTACATCAAGATCGATACACTGAACGTTGCACCTTGGCACGCTCCTTGGCGCGTTCCGTGGCGAGTCCACCTGGCACGTCGCGCGGCGCGTCACCTGGCACGTTCCGCGGCATGTCCATTGGCACGTTCCGTAGCGCGCCCCCTTCGCACGTCCCGCGGTGCGTGCCCATGGCACGTTCCCTGGCACGTCGCCTGGCGCGTCCCTTGGGACGTTCCGCGGCGCGTCCTCCTGGCATGTCCCCTCTGTCGATTAGTTCTGGGGCAGCTAACATCTGCTCAGGCAGCTCGAGCTTAAGATCCAAATCAGTTCGGTCAGGACTCGGTGGCAACGAGGACTCGATCCACAACGCTATATATAGAGCACAATCGCGGCATGGCACATCGCAGTTCAGCACGGCGTAGCACAGCACAGCCTTCGGCACGGGACATCAAGATCGATACATTTGGCATTGCATTTGCCCGTCGCCCACTCAGGTGTCTTTGAAACAATGCCATGCGTTAAATTGCTATATTCCTTTCCGGGTTCGTGGGTCGATCATGTTTCGTAACCGTAAAAGAACGGCAGCGCAAAGCAAACAACAACGGGCAGCACGACTCGGAACCCAACAGAGAACGGCGCGAAGGAGAGTCCAAACACTGAGGGGGGAGCAACAGTAACAACCCCCAACATTTTCTAAACTATAGATTTTGAACACGACCCCAAATCGCCCCCAGCGTTTTCAGCATCATCGAAGTGCTTGCGGGATCGATTTTCGGTGACTTCGGCAGGCGGTGGCTATGGGGGCTTGGCGACAGCGACGACGACGACGACGACAGCGGCGGCGGCGACGGCGGCGGCGACGGCGGCGGCCGAAGCGGCGGCGGCGGCGGCGGCGGCGGCGGCGGCGGCGGCGGCGGCGGCGACGACGACGACGACGACGACGACGACGACGACGACGACGACGACGACGACGACGACAATGGCGGCGGCGGCGGCAGCGACGACGACGACGACGACGACGACGACGACAATGGCGGCGGCGACGGCGGCAGCAACGACGACGACGACGACGACGGCCCTCTGTTGCTTTGAATCTCGATGAGAGGTGGGCCGGGGGAGACGACACCGGCCGACCGACCAACCGACGACGGCGACGCCCCACCGCCGCCGGCGGCGGCAGCCCGCGCGGCCCCGCCGCGCCGCGAGGAGCCAGCGCGAGGGCGATGAGCGCGAGGGCACCTCCCTGCGGCAGCAGCACGAGGCTGCCGTGGGCATGCTGGAGCGGGCCAGCGAGGCCCCCATCCGCCCACAGCGGCGGGCGGCGACTACGACGATGGCGGCGGCGGTGCAGGGCCCGCGAGCACCACCCGCTGCCCGCGCAGCCCTCGCCAAGCCGGGCGCGCGCGCCGCGCCCGCACTGCGCGCCCCTTCCCTCCCTCCTTCCCCCCTCGCCCCCCCCTCCCTCCGCCCCCCTCCCTCCATGGTCCCTCTCCCACCCACTCTCCTCCATCATCCATCCTCCCTCTTACCTGCTCTGACTCCTCCTCCTCTCCTCCTCCTCCCCTCCTCCTCCTCCTCCTCCCCCTCCTCCCTCTCCCCCCTCATCATCATCAGCCTTCTCTTCTCGCAATTGCACCATCTGAGTTACTGTGTATTCTCTTTTATCCCCCGAAGACGCAGTTGTTGTGGGGCATCCCGCCCCCTCGGCTGTTTTTCCCGGAAAGGGCTCGAGCCCAGGGTTCTCTTTTAGTTGGTTCCCCCCGGTTTTGACGGCTGAAGGGCCGGCGAATTTCTTTTGAGATAAATAACGAGGTCGCGTAGGGCCGGCGAATTAAAATTTGAGGATGTCTCAAGCGAAACGCTTGTTTTTCAGAATTTGTTGAGGATGTCTCGAGCGAAACGCTTGTTCTGTGTTATAGATTGTCCTCTCCTGGGGACCTGAATTCTGAGGATCTCTCAAGTGTGCACCTTGGCACGTTCCTTGGCGCGTTCCGTGGCGAGTCCACCTGGCACGTCGCGCGGCGCGTCCCCTGGCACGTCTCTCGGCACGTCCATTGGCACGTTCCGTAGCGCGTCCCCTTGGCACGTCCTGCGGTGCGTGCCCATGGCACGTCCCCTGGCACGTCGCCTGGCGCGTCCCTTGGGGCGTTCCGCGGCGCGTCCTCTTGGCCTGTTCCCCCTGTCGATTAGTTTTGGGGCAGCTACCATCTGCTCAGGCAGCTCGAGCTTACGCTCCAGATCAGTTCGGTGAGGACTCGGATGCCAGGGAGGACTCGATCCACAACGCTATATAGAGCACAATCGCGGCATGGCACATCGCAGTTCAGCACGGCGTAGCACAGCACAGCCTTCGGCACAGTACATCATCATCGATACATTCAGCATTGCATGAGCCTGTCGCCCAATCAGGTGTCTTTGAAATGTTGCAATGCCTTACATTTCTATATTCCTTTCCGGGTTCGTGGGTCGATCATGTTTTTGCACACGCTGTCTTTCAGACATTGTTCTCTTATGATTGCTACAATCAGATTGGCTTCGGTGTTTGGAAACGACCTTCCCGCTGCAGCTTGGGCCTCATTTTCGGATCGGCGTTGTGTCCCCGTCTTTCAGAATGGCGATCTCGCCCCAGCGCGGGCCACTTTTCCGGATCCGAGTCCCTTTTCATCGTTGTCGCCTCCCTCAATTCCCCGCCTCCGTCTTCCCCTGGTCATCCTGCTCCTCCCACTCCTTCCACTCCAGTCCCTGCTGCTGCTGTTCGTCCTCGTCTTCGTCTTTCCTCATCCTGCGCTTCATCCTCCCATCCTCCTGCTCACCCACCACCTCCTTTTCACCCTCTGTACGCAGCACCCCTTTTTCCCGGAAAGGGCGTGGGCCCAGGGTTCTCTTTTAGCTGTTTACCCCCGGATCTGACGGCTGTAGGGCCGGCGAATTTCTTGTGCGATTGCGATTAATAACGAGGTCGCGTAGGGCCCGCGAATTAAAATTTGAGGATGTCTCCAGCGGAACGCTTGTTTTTCATAATCGGTTGAGGATGTCTCGAGCGAAACGCTTGTTGTGTGTTATAGATTGTCCTCTCCTGGGGACCTGAATTCAGAGGATCTCTCAAGTGAAATGCTTGTTTTCACGTGCCCAGGTCTTGAGGATGTCTCGAGCGAGACGCTTGGTTTCACGCCTCCAGGTTGCCCAGACAGATGTCTAGCATGAGGAGTTGCTGAGGATGTCTCGAACCAGAGGCTTGTTTTCACGTGTCCAGTTCGCCCAGGCGGATGTCTAGCATGAGGATGTGTCGAGGAAGTCTCGATCGAGACGCTTGTTGGCACGTGTCCAGGTTGCCCAAGCGGATGTCTAGCATGAGGATGTGCTGAGAACGTCTTGGGCGAAACGCGTGTTTTCACGTGTCCAGGTCGCCCAGGCACAGCACAGCCCTCGGCACGGTACATCAATATCGATACCCTTAGCATTGCAGCCTGGCATGTTGCTTGGCACGTTCTGCGAAGCGTCCCGTGGCGAGTCCCCCTGACACGTCGCGCGGTGCACGTCCACTGGCACACGTTCCGTAGCGCGTCCCTTTGGCACGTCCCGAGGTGCGTGCCCATGGCACGCCCCCTGGCACGTCGCCTGGCGCGTCCCTTGGGACGTTCCGCGGCGCGTCCTCCTGGCATGTCCCCCTGTCGATTAGTTCTGGGGCAGCTAACATCTGCTCAGGCAGCTCGAGCTTAAGATCCAGATCAGTTCGGTCAGGACTCGGATGCCAGGGAGGACTCGATCCACAACGCTATGCACGTCCCGCGGCACGTCCATTGGCACGTTCCGTAGCGCGTCCCTATGGCATGTCCCGCGGTGCGTCCCCATGGTGCGTCCTGTGGCACGTCGCCTGGTGCGTCCTTTGGGACGTTCCGCGGCGCGTCCTCCTGGCATGTCCCCTCTGTCGATTAGTTCTGGGGCAGCTAACATCTGCTCAGGCAGCTCGAGCTTAAGATCCAAATCAGTTCGGTCAGGACTCGGATGCCAGGGAGGACTCGATCCACAACGCTATATAGAGCACAATCACGGCATGACATATCGCAGTTCAGCATGGCGTAGCGCAGCACAGCCCTCGGCACAGTACATCAAGATCGATACATTCAGTATTGCATTTGCCCGTCTTTCAATCAGGTGTCTTTGAAATGTTGCAATGCCTTACATGTCTATATTCCTTTCCGGGTTCGTGGGTCGATCATGTTTCGGATTGCGCATCGCACGATGGTTTTTGGAGGAGCTCCAGGTCGGCTACGTCACGCGTCCGCTGATGGAGAAACAATCAGCGCAGTGGGAATGGATGGGGGGAAATACAGTCGGGGCGCTGAAGAAGGAACTCTTTTCGTTGGGTCGGGGCTCCGTGTTCCTGAATAGTTTCACAGTTTGCTCCACGTATTCCTTAGGTTTCCGAAGGGAAATCGAAATTCAACTTCTGGAGAAAAGGGGCCTTGTTCCTTATTTAATCGCTTCGCTCATTCCGCCGGCCCGTATTGTGCCCTTGCTGGCGTTTGGGCTTCTGGGGGCCTTTTGGGGTCCTCGTTGGGGGTTTCTTGGGGGCGGCTTGGGTTTCTGTTGGAGCCTCTTTGGGGTTTCTTGGGGCTCATGTGGGAGCATTTGGGAGCATCTTGGGGCTTCTAGGAGCCGCTTGGGACCCGCTTGGGAGCTTCTTGGGGGCCTTGTGAGGGCCTTTTGGGGGCCTCCCAGGGCTTCAAAGGGGCCGTCCTGAGGGCTTCTTAGGGCCGAGGGCTCGAAGTGTTGTTTCGTGTTCCCTCTTTGGGGCTTCTCTCGAGCGTTCTCGGGGCCCTATTGGGCTGTCTTGGAGGCCTCTTGGGCCGTCGTGGAACCCTCTTGGGCCGTCTTGGGGCCCTGTCGGAGGCCTCTCGGGCCTCTTAGGGCGATCTTGGGGGCCTCCTGGGACGCCAACATCTCGCCAAAACCTAGGAAAAAAACAATACATTGTGCCCCTTGGGGCCCTCTTGGGAGTGCTCTTGAAAGCCTCGTGGGGCGTCTGGGGGCTATCTCGAGGGCCTTTGGGGGGCCTCCTGGGGCTTGAAAGGGGCCTCTTGGCGCCTCCTGGGGGCTCCTTATTGCCGAGGGCTCGAAATGTTGTTTCGTGTTCCCCCTCTGGGGTTTCTCTCAGAGCGTTCTTGGGGCCCTCTTGGGCCGTCTTGGAGGCCTCTTGGGCCGTCTTCGAACCCTCTTGGGCCGTCTTGGGGCCCTGTCGGAGGCCTCTCGGGTCCTTAGGGCGATCTTGGGGGCCTCTTGGGCCGTCTTGGGGCGTCGCGATGCCGAAAAGGTAGAGACGCCAAACTCTTCCCGAAACCTCAGGAAAAGCAATGATTGTTGCCTCTTGGGGCCCTCTTGGGAGTGCCCTTGAAAGCCTCGTGGGGCGTCTGGGGGCTATCTCGAGGGCCTTTGGGGGGCATCCCGGGGCTTCAAAGGGGCCTCTTGGCGCCTCCTGGGGGCTTCTTAGGGCCGAGGGCGAAATGTTGTTTCGTGTTCCCCCTCTGGGGCTTCTCTCAGAGCGTTCTTGGGGTCCTCTTGGGCCGTCTTGGAGGCCTCTTGGGTCGTCTTCGAACCCTCTTGGGCCTCTTGGGCCGTCTTGGGGCGTCGCGATGCCAAAAAGGTGGAAACGCCAACATCTCCCCCAAACCTGAGGAAAAACAATGAATGTTGCTTCTTGGGGCCCTCGTGGGAGTCTCTTGGGGCTCCTTGGCGTCGTCTTGGGGGCCCCTAGGGCCTCTTGGGGGGCTCTTGGAAGCCTCTTAGGGCGGGAGGGGGGATAGTCGATTGCGGCTCCCCCCTCGGAGGCCACGATCCTCGTGAGGAGTGTCGAAAAATGGCCCTCCCCTGGAGTGCTCTGGTGGCTCCTCCCGGGACCTTGCCGGGCTACTTTTCGTCCAGGGACCCCCAGGGGCCGCCCCGCGCGCGCGAACTAGAAAAACAGTGAGCCAGTTACCGGAGATCTTAGCACACCTCTGGCCCGTTGGGCCGGCGAATTTGGGGGGATCCTTAGGTCAGCGCCCCGACTGTAGGATGTCAGGTGTGGCGCGAGCGCACCCAGCTCGTCCCCTCCCCTCTCCTCCAAACAACTCCTCGATACTGCGCTGCCTTGCCCTGCTCCTGCTCCTCCTCCCCCTCTCCTCCTCCTCCTCCTCCTCCTTCTCCTCCTTCTCCTCCTCCTCCTCCTCCTCCTCCTCCTCCTCCTCCTCCTCCTCCGCCTCCTCCTCCTGGGAGAGGAGGATATCCATGCTCTTGCTCGCTTATTATCGTTTCAATTATGTATCATTAACTCTACTCCTGCTGGGACTGCTCCTCTTTCTCTCCCTGAGCTGCGGCCACTCCTTCTCCTTCTCCTCCCCATCCGCCTCCCGCTGGGGTGCTCTCTGCCTTCGCCGAGCCCAGCGGCGTCGAGAGGCCCTCTAGGCTGAGGGGCCTCGTCTCGCTCGTCTCCTCGCTCGTCTCCTCGCGTCGAGCCGAAACCTGGGTACGCTCGTCTCCTCCCCGTCGCGGCAGGCCTTGCTGAGCCAGGCCCGCCTGCTGCCCCAGCAGGCTCCGCGCCCCGCCGCAGCGTCTCTGGTCGGCTGCCGCATGCTCTGCCCAGCGGGCGACGACGACGACGAGCACGACCACGAGGACGAGGACGAGGGTGGCGTGAACGGGGGCAAGAAGGACGGGGGGAAGAGGAGGCTGGAAGCGGGGAGGGCAGGAAAGACATGGGGGGGAGGGGAGCTGGGACGAAGGGCGTGCAACCCCTCGGCCGCGGGCAGGCACGCCAGTGCCCCACCCCCGTGCGCAGCGCGGCATCTACAGAGCCGCTCAGCGGCATCCGGAGACGGGCCTGGCCTCTATTGCGGGACAGGGGAGTGCACAGACGGAGGCTTCGCCCTGTCGCCGGCGGCCAGAGGAGGGCCTGCCGCGGAGACTCCAGGTTCGGGGTTCCGGGCCATTAGGGGAGGGGCCGTGCAGCGCGCCGGGCTCTTTTGCGCACGGGGTATCCTCACGCTTCTTGCCCTCCCTGCGCCTTGCATCGGCTTATGGCATTGGTGTGCGTGTTTTGCCGGCGCCTGATTGCTGGCTTCCTTCGGGCGGTGAGCTTGGGCATAAGGTGCGCGGAACCCGCCATTGCCATCTGCCGAGGCGAATCGCGAAGGGTTGCGGCTGGGAAGGGGGGTGCCCCGTGTTGCGGGGGGTCCTGCTCGTCGTCGTCCTCTTCTCCGGGGGATCGCCCAAATCTGGCTTGCACAGCTTAATTCCCGCTGGCACCGAAGCACCCCCCCCAGTGCCCGCTGACGAGAGCCCAGAAGCGCGGCGGCCGAAGTCGTCTCCTCGGCTCCGAGCTGCCCTTCTGGAGCTCTTCAAATTGATTCCGCCCCGGGGTGGCCACCAGGCTGCTCTTGCGCGGCTCTTCTTAACCCCATATTTGTTTCTCGGCCTTGGGCGGAGGACGCTTAGTCCTTTAGGCAGCCTGTCGCCATCAACAACAAAGTCGCTCAAAGACCCTGTGGCTGCGGCTCGCGCCTCCGTCCCGTCCTTCGCGAAGAACTCGCGCGATTTAAAATTGGACGCGGATGGAGCCATGCAGGTAGGCCCGGCCTATGCGGAGTGGACCTCTTGCTTAGAGGGTTTCTTTTGTGCGATGCTGGGGGCCAGCGTAGATTAAAGGGTCGAGCGCAGCTGCGCGAGCTTCAGAAGACGTCGGAGGTCCCTGGGGCATAGCATGTTTACTCTCAGGGTCCTCTGGCCCACCTGGTGGGCTACCCTGAGCTTTCCCCTTTTCTGACTTGGTCGGTTCCCTGGGGGATCGCGCGCGCCACATGCCGAACAAACTTTTTGAGGTTCGGCATAAAGGAATTTTTGCTTGGCACAAGCCGAGCATTCTCTTTGGGTGGATGGCAAAGGGTGAATTCTGGAATGCCGGTTCGACGGATGTTCGAGGCTTGAATCTGCAAACGGTGAATCACAAGACGGATTGGTTTTCGAGGTGCCAAAGCCCATCTGGATTTCACCCTGAGCCCTCCACCCTTACAAAATGATTAGACAAGTCCGCCCGTACTGGAAACGACCCCGCGGCTGGCCGCGGGGGCGCCCTCGCTCGGCCGGGCGGCCGCGCGCTGGCCGACCCGCTGCCGTTCCTCGCTCGCGCTGTGCGCTGTGTGTGCCGTGCCATGTCTCTTCCGCCTGCTACTGGGGGCGGGATATACATACCGTGCAGTGTAAAAACATTTTTTAAAAAAAAAAAAAAAAAAAAAAAAAAAAAAAAAAAAAAAAAAAAAAAAAAAAAAAAAAAAAAAAAAAAACGTGCAGTGCCCCGTGTTTCGGTCCATCGTGGTAGGCACCATGCCTCGCGCTTCGGTCCATGGGGACCGCGCGCTCTGGCCCATCGTGGCCCACCGAGTGACCACGTGCTGTGGCCCAATAGTGGCCTGCTGCGCTCGCTGGCCCAATGGGGCCTTCTCTTCGGGTCCATGTTGACCGCGTGCTGTCGCTGGCCCGCCCGACCCGCCCTGGGGGGGGGAGGTGCTCCCCCCGCGGGCCCGACCGGCGTCTGCCCGCTTGGCCTCGGAGAGGCCGCGCGAAGCGGGGCAGGTGGATCGGGTCCGCACCCTTCGCTCCTGGGGGGGGGGGGGCGAGAGCAAGCGTCAGGATTTGTATCGCTTTCGCGACATGGCTGCCTCTATGCCAGCGTCGTCCCTCTCACCGCTGAGCACACAGCTTCGGGCCGATTGGGTTCGCGGGCTGCGCGTTCTCAGAGAAGCTTCGGGCCCGACTATCAGAGATTTCGAGTCCAGGGCCAGACAGAATTCGGTTAGAGCTCAACGTGCGGTTCCTCAGTTCCGCACTGACCCGATCCCACGAGTGGGTCAGGCAATAGGATGAGGCTGGAGGCCGCGGGTTCTGTAGACGCATCAAGGATACGACGGTCTTCTGAGGGGGAGGTCCGGGCTCCGGGGGAGACGGCGCTTGATTCCTGCCGGAGGACGGCTGTGAAGGTTGGAGTCTGGTCTGGGCAGTGGGCAGGCGACAGCTCTAGTTCTCCCAAGGCCTGACCCCTGTGGCTCAGCAGGGCCCTGTCAAAGGCCAAGCAGAGCCCTCGGCCCCCTGCCAGCGTTGACTGGCTTAAGGAGGTCACCGCGGCCTTGCTTGAGAAAGCTCCCAGGGTCGATCGGCTTTCCGGAAAATATTTCCAGTGGCTGCCAGCCTAAGGTTTGCAGCAGCTTGCGGATTTCTACGCCTCGGTTGAGCAGCGGGTCTGTTGGCCATGGCAGGCGCTGCGCTTGCTGCGCTCGTCGCGCTCCAGGTCAGAGGCGAGCACTCCGATCGAGCGATTGGCCTGGTGGCCTGGGTGGTTCGATTCTGGGGTCGACTGCGACCCTCGGACCGAGCAGGGCGGGCCAAGGAGCGAGCGGGGCCGCGGGACACGGCACTTGCAGGCAGTTCAGCTCTGCAGGTTGCGCTCGTGGGGCTTTTCAGGGATGAGCAGGATGCCCAGTCCAGCCTGCCTGACCACCAGAGCGGTAGCTTGCTCTGGGATGGTAAAGGTTTCTGCCACAGTCTTCGTTGGGATCTGGTCCTGGACCACGCTCTGGAGTTAGATTCCCCCCCTTGCGATTTGGCCCTGGAGCTTCAGGTCCACGTGGCGGCCAGGCGTTTGAGGGAGGCACGATGTTTCTCGCGGGCAGTGCGCCCTGGCATGCCCTTGATTCCCGGAAGCAGTGGGGCTGTGGATTCAGGCTGGGCAGCGTTGCGCTTCGTTGAGGGAGCCGCCGCAGGCCTTCCTCCTCCTCCTCCTCCTCCTCCTCCTCCTCCTCCTCCTCCTTCCCTGCACACCTGGGTTGACGATTTGGCTCAATGCATGCGCGGCAGCAGCGATTGTAGTTTCGAGGGTAGGCTTGGATTTAGTCCAGGGTCTGCACGACATCAATCCCCAGATTGCTCCGAAGTCGACCATCATCTCTTCCTCCTGGGACTTGGCCGTGAGACTCAGGGACTTCTTCGCGAAGCAGGGAGTGATCGTGCAGACCCAGCGCGTTGCTGCCGATCTCGGTATAGACAGAGGGCAGGTAAAGGCGAGACGACCCAAGCAGGCTAGTTGAAGGGCGGGGGCAAAGCGTAAGTTCCGCCGCCTCTGCAAGCTTGGTCGGGGCAATCGCTCGCGCGAGGGATGCGCCCGTGAGATGGCCTTGACCTCGGCGTTTTCAAAAGCTAGGTATTCACGCGAGGTCCATGGCACCCCACCCAGCGTCGTTCTTGGTTGGCGGAGAGCCCTTGAGAGGCTCACGGGGGGAGTGTCCGAGGGGGGTACGTAGGTGCCTGGCGACCTTGCTCCCCCTTGAAGACGGCCAGAGGGACCCGGCCTTTTTCGCCACGTTCGACGCGCTGACGCAGCCCAGTCTCAAAGTGGACAAGACGAGGCGTGCCTGGAGGGAGGTTCTCGCGCAGTTCGAGCCCAAGCCGGCAGGCAATGGATGGCGAGGGGTCGGCACCCCGGCGGTTGCCGCCATCGCCCTTCTGCTCGATGTCGGTTGCAGACCCTGGGGGCCCTGGACCCGGGAGAGCGACCTCTGGGCGAGAGGCTCACGACCTCAGAAGCCAAGCTTGGGCGCGGCAGGGTTGACCTCGCCGACCTTTTGGAAGCCCTGGCCGACGGCAAAGAGCGCCAGCTGTGGGCGGCTGCCGCAGCCAATTCTTGGAACGGGTCAGGATCAGAATCGGTGCCAGATCTGCGCGACTTTTCAACGTCAGCCGAATGGCTGACGAAGAAGGGCAAGTTTGAATGGCGAGGATCGGCGTCACACCAGCATACTTGTACCATATGTGCGTCGCCCCGCCAGGGGCGACGCGCGCACCGAGAAATCTCATAGCATATGCGTCGTGGCGGGCGCTTTCTGGCCACACCGATGGGGAAACGATATACCACGAGATGGGTATACTATATGTTCGGGCAGCTTCGGATTCTGCCTGCAGACGTACTCCAGCGGATTGGGAGAGTAGTCCGAGCTTCTGGCTGCGGGGGCTGACGCCGCGCAGCTGGGCCGCCGCTCCTCCGCCGCCTGGTGGGGAAAAGCTCCTGGCTTATAGGGGGGATCTCCGTGGGGCGGCGGCGGATGGTTGTGCGTTGGAGGAGGTGGTGTTAGCGTGGTGCTTGACGCGCGGGGCTCTGCCCTCCGTCGTGTCGCCTGGTCCTTGGCAGTTGTCAAAGGCCTGTGTGAAAGGGGGTCGATATTGTCCCAGAGAGCCCACGGCTGGTGCTGCGGGTTTCGGGAATGTTCCGGGTCGGCGCCAATCGGCCAACAGGGGTGAAGCCATGAGCCTGCTGCAGTTCTTGAAAACAGTCCTCCCCGTTGCTGGCGTTTTTTTCCGGTGCTGATTCGACCTGTGTTGTAAAGAGCTTCAAACAAGTGCGCAGTGGAGTTTTGACTTAATCACAACTTGATACGTGGCAGGGTACCAGGGGCCTCATGGCAGAGCACCCCTCCAAGTGGGTTGTGCTGGCCAAGGTTGAGGGCCAGATATCTGTAGACGAAGTGAGCGACCAGGGAGCCGACCCCATGCTTCCCTTCTTGAATGAGATGGCGGGCGGCATTGCCAAGCAGTGGGCTGGAAACTTGCGAGTGCCAGTGCAGCATAGAAACAGCAGGTCCCACGCCCAGGCGATTGCCTTCCAAATCCGTCAGCATCTAGGCCACACTTCGCTAGCGTCGATCGGGGCAGATGGGAACCGAGAGCCTAGGAAGGCCGCCCTCCGACGCATGAAGCGCGATATCAAAGTTCAGCTTCAGCTCGGTTGAATCAACCAGTTTGGGGTATAGGCTCCCAGGTCTGATGCTGCGCGCGTGGCGGATGTGCACCTTACAGAATGGCCGGTAAGTTTTTAGCAACCCCATGCCACCAGGGTTTGTTTAAGGGGTCGGTCACGGTGCCCACGAAGGGCGCAATGAATGGCACGGATTTGCACAGGTCCCATACCTTGGCCTAGCACAAGCAGTTCGGGAGCTCTGCCTATCTTGCCTGCGGCTGCGTGGCCACTCAAGCCGTCCGCAATTTGGCAACTGTTTGCAACCAGCGGTTGGATCTTTACGGCAAGAAGCATATGGCGAGAGTATTGCAAGGTCTGTCCCGAGGTTCTTCAAGGCTCGCCAGGAGTCAGGTGGCCCAGAAGAAGAAGAAGAAGGTCCTGTAGTAAACCGCTCACATCTGCCATTGGCTGGAATGGGCAGAAGCTTCAACAAGCCTCCCGAAGGCTCGTTCTGAGCCCCACACATCTCGACAATGCCTTCCAAGGAACACACCGGAGCCGATGCTCAACTCATTCACTCCCACGGCCCGTCCGTGCCCCCCAAAACGCCGCCCGTCTGATGTTCCTTGAGGCCTCTTCGGGACCATCCGTTAGTTGCTATGAGAACGGGATTACGGTGATGATGATGGTGATGATGATGATGGTTGGGGTGAGATGACAATGGCGATTCGGATGAGAATGGGTAGTTACGACCATGACGATGATCCGCGCGAAGTCGACGATGATCCGCGCGATGTCGACGATGAAGATGCTGTGGTTATGACGATGATGGTGGCGATGGGGAGAAGTTGATGCAGATGCGGACGACGACGGGGATGATCATGACGACGGTGATGATGGTAATGAACGAGCTGAACACCATTATGACGGCCATGAGGGTCATAGTTGTCGGGCCCCCCGCTCTTAAGAGATCAGTCGCCGGCGGTGACGACCATGTGATGATGATGGTGGTGGTGCGGATGATGATAGCGATGGTGATCATGACGGCGATAATGCTCACGGTGATGATGACAACGATGATGCCGATGCAGATGCAGATGATGATGATGACGACGATACTGATGATGTTGATGGTGATGATGATCGTGATGGTGATGACGATGCCATAGCTGAAAATGGTAATACTGGCGATGAGGAGGATTATGAGGACGGCGTCGGTGACAATACTGGTGACGATAATGATCTTGACAGTTTGCATGATTCTGACTCCCTCTGCTCTTCGACCCAGCGGCCGCACTCGCTTGTGGGACCGCCCACCAGCTTGCGCTAGAACTTCTGCACGCGCGAACCGCGTGTGATGGTCCTTGATTATATATAGAGAGAGGGATGTGTAGATATGCTTACGTGTATATAAAAATATGTGTACACACGTATGTCTACATATTGGTGTATGTGACTTGGGAGCCTTGTGGGGATGTCCGGAGAGCACTGAGAGCAGTCTTGTGGCCTTCCGGGGCAGTGTCGGGACGCTCTTGGACCATGTTAGGCGCTTCCCAAGTCTCATTGGGAGCTCTTCGAGTCGTCTTGAGCGGGGCCCCCGTCCTGGCGGCCGACGCGACACACCCCAGGAGCGCCCAAGAGCGCCCAGGAACGCCCGGACATTCTGGGAACATCTTGGCACGGGCTCTTAAGAGTTTCACAACCCACCTAATTCGTACACGTACGTGAGCCTTCAGGCACTCCACTTCGTGCTCACGGCACGTTGGCGGATATGCATCTCTCCACACCAGTAAGAGCCGTCCGCAGTGCCGCGACTACAGAGTGGCATCCATGGATCTCGTCGACGCCTCGCTTGTATGGACATGGGTGGATCGAGACAGAGCCCGCCTCAGACAGGACCGGCGGCAAGGATACAATCGCAGCTTGACGTCTGGCTCAGTCAGCACAGCGGTTGGCACGAGGATCGGCCGAGTGCAGCGCTAGAGCGCGTCATGTATGTCTAGATGGGGGGGCTGTATGCTCTGAGCGGCCCCCGCCCTGCGCCTTCTCTCTTCTCTCCGACTCTATGCGTCCCGCCTGTAGCCCGACTGGCGCATGACTGTTTTCGCACTTTTGCGTCCGTTGAATTAGAAAGCCGCTATGGGGGTTCCAGGAACCCTGAACCAAAAAAACTTGCCACCTCTTGGGGGGCGTATGTTATTTCCGCGGGCTTCCGCTGGCGTCCGCTGGCGGATCCGCCGTCGCCTTACTTCCGCCGGGCTTCCGCCCCATCTTCCGCCGAGAAAGAGATGCCACCGTCTTGGGATCGTCTTGGAAGCCATCTTGGGTCTTTTTGGCCGTATTGGAGCCATCTTGGCCGTTTTGGAGACCATCTTGGGCGCCTTGGGGGCCTCTTGGGCCATCTTTGGACCCTTTGGGAGCCGTCTTGGGAAACTCTTGGGCCGTCATAGGGCCATCTTGGCAGCTTCTTGGGGCCTTGGATCGCCTCACATGCTGCTACCTGCGACTCCCCCGAGGAAGCCTGGCAAAGTAAACGGCGACGACGACGACGACGACGACCAAGACAACCAAGACGACCAAGACGACGACGACGACGACGACGACGACGACGACGACGACGACGACGACGACGACGACGACGACGACGACGACGAGGACGACAACGATGACTTGCTTACTTGGAGGCCTGGTGAAGCGAGCAAACTCCTCGGCGCCGCGGGGCGCGGCCGCGTCCCCCCGCGCGAGCGGGGGGGGGGGGCCGGTCGCCTCACCCACAGGCCTCGTGGGGCCTGCGCGAGGCGGAGGGGCCGCAGGAGGCCGCTCGGCTGCAGCTGGAGGCGCCCCTCTCCCCCCCCGCCGGCGCCGCGGGAGGGGAGAGGACGCGGGTGGGGGGCGGCAGCGGGCTCTGGAGGGAGGGGCGGGCTCCTGAGAGGAAGGGGGGAGTGAGGTCCGGGGAGGGAGGGACATACGATGGAGGAGGGGAAGGCGGAGGCGGAGGAGGAGGAGGAGGAGGAGGAGGAGGAGGAGGAGGAGGAGGAGGAAGTGAGGAGGAGGAGGAGG